GTCGCCGACCAGAACGGCCTTGTCTGGATGCATCCTGTTCCAAGCTTCAAGGATGCCTGTCTTCTTGACCTTCATTACAGACACGGGCTCGAAATTCGCCGATCCCGTGGGGCCTTCTCGACGTGTGAGATCGCTGCCGTTCCCAAACCTATCCCCGGGAGCCTGGACCGACAGGTTTGGAGGCCTTCGGCCTGCGAGTTAGGGAAACCCGTCGGTCTCCAGAAACCCCCAGGGAATCTGGCGACCCATGGGTTTCCCATTCTTCGGAATTCTGGGAAACCCGTAGATGGACGACTGCCGGGAGGGGGGGGGGGGGTCCTGCTAGACGCCGCCAAACCCCCCAGGAGGGGCCATCTGCTCCAGGAGCTGCTGCGGAGGCGCCCCCTCCCTGAGATCCGGCGGCGCAGACTGACTACCTACCAGACCACCCCAACCCAACCCGAAGACCGGAATTTGACCTGAATTTCGGGTTGGGGGGGTACGGATCCAATGTGTTTTCTCAACGTTCCCCGACCCCCCCCCACTGGAAATCGAGGATAAATTGAGGCCTTCGGGTTGGGTTGGGGTGGTTTGGTGGGTGGTGACAGACATGTTGAGACAGCGCGCAAGACCACGATCGGAACCCCAGACCCCCAGCTTCCTGCACCGTTTCCCGAGGCGCATCGGTCCGCGAGGCCCCCGGGGCCCAACGCCGGGCGAAGACGCCCCGCTCGGAACAGTTGAGGCGCCAGGATCTCTGGGCTTGGCCCCCTCCTCCTCCTCCTCCTCCTCCTCCTCCTCCTCCTCCTCATCCTCCTCCCTCCTCCTCCCTCCTCCTCCTCCACCTCCTCCTCCTCCTCCTCCCCCTCCTCCTCCTCCTCCTCCCTCCTCCTCCTCCTCTCCTCCTCCTCCTCCTCCTCCTCCTCCTCTTCCTCCTCCTCCTCCGCCTCCTCCTCCTCCTCCTCCTCCTCCTCCTCACCCTCCTCCTCCTCCTCCTCCTCCTCATCCTCCTCCTTCTCCTCATCCTCCTCTTTCGCCCTCGCTTCCCGGAGGGACCCGCAGACGGCCCAAGACGCCCTCCCAGGGGATCGGCGACGCGGCGCCGGCCTCGGGATTCACGTCTGCAGGTGACGCGCTGAGCGGCAGCGCTTTCTGGCGAAGGCCCCAACGCATCGTCTCCGACGTGTCCGATATTGCATAGCTGCTACATATGGTTTGCTCTTGCATCAGTAAATCTCCCTCCTACCCCACCCCTGGAGTCGCGCCACGTCGGCGGACCAAGATGCCCCCCCCCCTTTAGGGACCCCAAAACGCACAAAGTTTACAGAGAATCTGTGATATCGGCCTCTGGGGCATCCAGGGGGTCCAAGAGGCCCCAAGACGACTCAACGCAGCTTCCCGAAAGCCCAAGACGGCCCCAAGACGGCCCAAGATGGCCCCAGGAGACCCCAAGAGGCTCCCAAGACTGCCTCAGAGGGCCGCAAGGAGGCCCCCAAGAGCACCTCCAGGCGCCAAGAACATTGATCTCCCTACGGCCCAAGCAGCTCCAAGTTGGCCCCGAGACGGCCCCAGATGCCCCCAAGAGGGCCCTCAAACGGCCCATGTGTGCTCCAAGACGGCCCAAAGAGGTCCCAAGCTGGCTGAAGAGGCCCCCCAGACGGCCCAAGAGGACCCAGAGAGAGCCATACGGCCTCCGAAGGGGCCAGACGGCGCAAGAGCGCCCCAAGACAGCCCAAGAGGCCCCAAGAGGCCCCAAAGGGCTCCCCAAGAGGCTTGCAGGGGACCCCAACAAGCCTCCCAGATGTCCCAAAGAAGCCCCCAAACAGCCCAAAGAAACAACCAAGGAATCCCACCAGCCCTCTAGGCGTAGGTGGCTTAATGAGTCTTGTCTTTTCTTACATGACCCCTTCTCCCCCTGCTTGGGGGAGGGGTTTATCACTGTTCCCCATTAATGTACACCCCCTCCACCAGGCGAACGGCAGCCAACCAGGAACAATGACGACCCCATGATCACATGCCCAAGCCATCTTTCACAAACAAAAAAAAACATACGAAACACACTCTGCCTCCAATTTCGAAGCATGCGCAACCAACCCAATGTGTCCCCCCACCATCCCTATCAAAAACAATACAGACTACACTTTGGGGCAAAGTCTGGAGTCATGTTCGTGAAGCCCGCGAACACTTCGTATAAATGTTGACAGGAACAGCGGGGGTGTCAGCAGTTTGCCTGCTGTGCGCAGGGCTACCATCCCTGACACAAAAATACAACATGCACCTCGCGACTCAATCTGGATCATGCGCGGCCACCCCGCGATCACTGTCGAGTGGTTTTTGACAGAGACGGCGGAGGTGGTAGCGTATGGCCTGCCGTGCGCAGGCCCACCAGAAACAATGATGGGCACTGGTCTTCGACAAGGATGGTGGGGGCCGGCACGTTTCCCGATGTGTGCTGTCACGCGCGCAGGCGCACCTGACACGCTCTGCACGTGCCCGGCTGGAGTAGGCGGCACGCCTGGAGCACGCGGAGGCACGCGGCGCATTTGGCGCACCAGGCGTGCCTGGCACGCTCGGGCCCCAGGGGGGGCCTGGCGCGCGTGGCGCGCCTGGCACGCGTGGCGCACCTCGCCCCAGCGTCGCGCACATGGGCTCGGTGTTGGCTCCCAGTAGCTGCCCATCCAAAGACGGCCGCTGAACATGCTGAGGCTCGGGTGGTACTCACGTGTTGGGAGGGCGGGCGGGAGTGAGCTAGACGGCTTGCTATCTAGGAGGGTGTCTTGACTTGTCCCCATACCCCCTCCCCTGGGCCTGGGAGGGGGGAGGGGGCGCGAGGCGCTAGAGCGTCCAAGCTGGCCCGAGATAGCTCCAAAGAGGGCCTCAGAAAGCCCAAAATGGCCTCCAAGGTGGCCCTAGCCGAACATGGTTCAAGATAGCCTTCGGCACAAGACAGCCCCAAGACGTTTCCAAGTGCCCTTCGAGCCTTCCCAGGCACACTCCAAGAGGCCACCAGCATTCAACAACTCAGGGAAACCACATATGTGTTACCTTATCGATGTTTCGCTTCCGATGGGCGTTTGAGGCCTCAAGATGGCCCCAAGACGGCCCAAGAGACCCCGAAACGGGACCCAAGAGGGCATCAAGAGGACTCCAAGAGCGACCAAGACCGCCTCCAAGAGCAGCCCACAAGGGCCACCAGACGCAATTTTGAGTCTCCGAGGGGAGTGGGGGGCTGAATTGAGGACCCCCCTCTTTTTGAGCCATGGGGCCCACGCAGCCTCCCAGACCCCTCCAATCAGCCCCAGGAGGGCCCCAAGACCCCGAAAACAAGACCCAATCAATAGGGACCCAAGAGTAACCCAAGAGGCCTCAAGGGGAACCCAAGAGAGCCCCTAAGATGACCTTCGTCGTCCTTCAAAAACCTTTCACAACAGCAAATCTCCAAGGCCTGATTTCTCATCCTCCTTGTCATTGCCCGTTCCTTCCCTCCTCATGTCCTGCCTCCTCCCTCCTCCACCTCCTCCTCCTCCTCCTCCTCTTCCTCCTCGTCCTCCTCCTGCTCATTATCATCATCAGCATCAGCATCATCATCAGCATATGCATCGTCATCATCATCGTCACCATCAGCATCAGTATCAGCATCAGCATCAGCATTAGCATCAGCATCAGCAGCATCAGCATCAGCATCAGCATCATCAACATCATCATCACCATCACCATCATCACCATCATCAACATCATCATCATCATACTCCTCCTCATCCTCCTCATCATCATCATCATCCTTACAATTATTGCCATCACTATCACCATCACCATCACCATCGCCATCATCATCAGCATCATCATCATCATCATCATCATCATCATCATCATCATAATCCTCATATCGTGATCGTCATCGTCATCGTTATCGTCATTATCATCGTCACCGTCATGGTCATCGTCATCGTAATCGTCGTTGTCATCGTCATCGCCATCGCCATCGTCACCGTCATCGTAATCGCCCTCGTCATCGCTATCGTAATGATCACCATCATCATCATCATCATCATCATCCTCATCAGCATCACCATCATCATCATCATCATCATCATCATCCTCATCATCATCCCCACCCTCCTCAGCATCGCAAGCATCATCATTTTGATCAACATCATCATCTTCATCCTCACCATCACTGTCACCATCACCATCACCATCGCCATCACCATCATCATAAGCATCAGCACCAGCACCATCATCATCATCAGCTCATCATCATCAGCAGCATCATTTACATCATCACCATCATCACCATCATCAGCATCAACATCATAATCAGCATCATCACAATCAGCCTCGTCGTCATCAGCATCATCATAAGCATCATCATCATCATCATCATCATCATCATCATCATCATCATCATCATCACCAGCTGCAGCATCATCATCATCCTCAAACTCTGCTCCCGAAGCGGAGGATGCTGGGCCCCGAAACAGGCTAAACGATCGAGACATCCCCTCTATTTCGGCGCGAACGGAAAAGTAAGATACCTCCTGGCGACCCCCCCTTGGAGATGCTGAAGCCCGCACCTCGCTCGAGACATCCTCAGATTTTGCCCCGCCATCATCACCTCCACGCTACCAAGATCAGCAACAAGAAGATCAATGGCAATACGATGTAGTGAGTGTTCTCTTCCAGCCAGCGGGCGCTCCCGCATTCCAAATCAACAGTTACATGTCTGCTCTCGGACAGCTCGCGTCCTTGAGCCAAAAATGCAGCGGTCGTCGTCGGCCTTCGTAGGACAACGACCAAAATGAATCATCATCAGTCAGGATAAGAGGGATGCTGGGGGACGGAGCGTTTATGTGTGCTCCTGACAACAGTTGCACAAGACGCCACCAAGACGCCACAAAAGAGGCCCCCAAGAGGCCCAAAGAGGGCACAAGAAGCCTCCAAGAGGCCCCCAAGAGGCGACAGGAGTTCCCACAATGACTGGACTGCACGTGGTCCAGAAGTGCAACCCGCGAAGCGAGAGGAATCAGTGTCCAAGTCCAACACGACGCCGACCGACTTCTTTTTGTCGACAGCATCAGACATGTCGAGGTCCACCACGAACTCCTTCTCGAACTTGGAGGCATGCAAGGCGGCCCGCTCCTGCGGGGACAGCGTCACCGATGCGTCCGAGCCTTCTCCCGCGGACTTCGCCGCAGCGGCATCCGCGTGAACGCCCTCGGACTCCCTGCGGCGGTGGATCACGATGTCGAGGAGTGCCTTTCGAAGAAGATAGGCGTACGTCAACACAAACTGTCCAAGGCCCGCGCGGACTTCTTGGAGCTGCGGTGGATGCCCCCGGAGGCGCCTCCGGCCCCGCCCCCGGCGCACGGAGCGCGCTGGGAGGGAGGTCCAGCGCCGACACCAGAAATCCGTGCGGACCTCCGAACAGTCATGTTCATGCGGATTGTTTCTTCTTCGAGCCTCGAGGGCGACGTCCGTCTTTCGGTCTGCGCTGGCCTTCAGAGCTGCGGTGGGCACGGCAGCGGCGACCAGCAGGACAGCGAGCCGACAGACCGCCATCGCACCAGTTCGGCAGCGCACTGCGTCGCGGGATGCTGTGGGGGCTTCAAAAAAATACAGTTACACGAATCGCGGCGGCGAGCATTCAGAGCCCCCGGCGAGTATGGCTATGGAAAGGGGGGCCGAGGACGAGGGGAAAAAGAGCAACTCTCGGTTCTGCTGAAGCTTTTGCCGCCACTGCCCCGCCCAACTGCAAAAAGAACCAGGGGTAGGCCGACCGGAGCGCGAGGCCCGAAATCAATCTTCCGCGTTGGGAGAGCAAGCTCAACTTGCATCCAAGCCACTGACCCCTTTGATCCCAGGTCGGCCGAAGCCCCAGTCGGCCGCCAGCTTCTGGACCATTCATCGAGTCTCGGGGGGGGCCACCTGGGGCGGCTCAGGCGCGCGTGTGCAGCTCTCTTGGCGAGTCCCAGCGGATAGGGCGGGCCCCAGAACCCGCTCTCACGCTGGAGTCGTTCCCCCAACTCCCCGCCACCTCGGGGGTCGAGTCTTGCGAACAAGATCGCTGGCTTTCTGGCGAATCTTGGGGGGGCCAAAGGGTACCCATACCGCTAGTCCCAGGACCTCTCCCGGGGTGCGTTCTGACCGGGATTTCGAAGCGAATCCAGCCGTGGGAACGACGGCCTTCCTGGAGGCCATTTCGCAGAGAAGCCAGGGTAGTGGCATCGGTACCCGTTTCGCCGAGCTGTGCGTGCCTGTATGATGCGCGGAATCTTGACTTTCGTGATGAACCAGCCGCCGAAAAGAAAACACATACACTTTTTTGATCTGCGGGGCGAGAGGGAACCTCTTCAGCTAAAAGCTATGCGGGTTACGCACAGCTTTAATTAGGGAGACAGGGCGAGAAAACACACACACACACACACACGCACTTTTGGCTATCGCGGCCTCGCGCGCAACGACGAGGCGGAGAAAAAGCAGCGCACAGCAAAACGCGCTTGGCGGCCGGGCCCTCAACATCACTGAGGATGAGACTTGTCGGCGTCAACCATCCGGGCTGGCGGGGAGAAAGCAGGCGGGACCATGGGAAAGGCTCGCCATGACCGCAGCCGAGGGGAGCGCCATCAGGTGCCTGGGCGTGGACAGCGAAGAGAGAAGTGCACACCGGTGGTGCAGCCCCACGGCGGCGTCCAATGACGACGAGGAGCAGCACGGCAGGTCCAGGAAGGGACAAAGGGCGCGGCAAACAGCCGAAGGGAGAGGACCCCGTGAGCAGTACAAAGCAATTAGAGACAAGGAAGGGACACACACACTTTTGAAGTCAGCGGCGCAGAGGGTCCCCAAGCGCGGGCAGCAGGTGGAAATGCGACTTGCGATCGAACATTGTCGAAAGCACTGTGTACGAGACGTCGCACCCTGTACAGTGCGAACAGTGAGTGGTGTGCTGGGGGGACTGCAACCCCAAACGTCGACATGCAGCGGCCAGACAGCCGAGGGTAAATTCAACTCAGAGCGAACTGAAGCGCACGCTGACTGGTGCCAATCGGCGGCCACTGGATCACCGACACGACGGTGTGAGGCAGCGAAGCGCGAAAGAAACTGGAACTGCCGCCACACCACCAGCAGACTGGTGGGGTCAAGCGCCGAACTCAGCTGGGGTCCTGCGAAACAGACACACTTTGTTTTGATCTGCGGGTCGAGAGCGAGCCTCTTCTGATAGAAGCCAAGCGGGGCGCGCACACCGAAGCAGACACACACACACACACACACACACACACACACACACACACACACACACACACACACACACACGTTACGCCCGTCTCTGCCCGAAGCACACCGAAGCCCAGACGAGGCCCGAGATCCGAGATGGACACGCTGGCCACGCGCCGCGCCCCCCCCCCTCTCCCCGCGGCCCCTCCGTGAGGCCATCCGCCACGCCGCTGCGCAGCTCCTGCTGCGAGGAGGAGGAGGAGGAGGAGGACGAGGAGGAGGAGGAGGAGGAGGAGGAGGAGGAGGAGGAGGACCCTGCTGCTTGTGGGGGAGCGCGGAGGAAGGAGCGAAGGGGCGTCCAACAGCGTGCCTGAGCTTCGACGCTGCCGCCGTCCGCCTTGCCCGCCCAGGGCGGCGCCGTTCCGAGCGCACTTCACTGCTGCGGCAGCCAGCACGCCCTGACTCCGGATCCGCCATGCCCGCCCTGCTTTTCAAGCTCCTCTTACGTCGATGTCCGCCCTACTCTGCCGTCGATGTTTCCGCCATGCCTTGCGGGCATATACCTGCCCTTCTTGTCTGAGGCGGAAGCTCCCGCCCTGCTCGTTCGCATCGTTTGGGGCGCACGTCCGACACCGAGCTGCAAGTCGGGAAGACAGCCAGAGGACGGCAGATCCGGAGTCAGGGTGCCCTGGCCTTGTCCTGCACGTCCACTTCGGCACCGCCTGATCCCTGGGCTTCGCCCTCTCCCGGCCGCGTGAGGCCCCGCCTTCTTTCGCCCTCTCTCTGCTAACTACAGCTGTGCGCGTCCCGCTTCGCTTTCCGCGGAAGAGGCTCGCTCTCGCCCTGCAGATCGAGAGCCCTGGCCGCGGTGAGCACCGGCCACGGACCGGGCCTCCCGAACGGATCCGAGGGAGCGGCCCGAAGACCACAGTGAAGGGGCCCTGGGACACACAAATAAATACACACAAATTCAAGGACTCCCCATATGTTCCTGTATTTTCTGGGTTCCTGTCTTCCCCCCCACTTCCCATATTTTTCGACATGTTCCTGGGAGTCGACGATTCATTGTGTCTGTGTGGTTTGCCCCCTCCTGACACGGCCCCTCCCGCATCCAGGGTGGTCCGCGTCGCGGAGCCCTGCCCGTGGCGGCGCTGGCGCCGCGGCGTGCCCGACTCGCACGGGGCGCGGCGGCTGCCTCCCGCTGCTGCCGCGGGCCTCCCCCGGGAGGCCCTGCCACCGACCGCCCCCGTGCCCCGGGGCGCCTCCTGAGGCCACCGCCGCCCCGGAGCACCAACCGCCCCTGTGCCCGGCAGGGCTAGACTGAATGGGGCCCCAGGACACACAGATAAAGACACACAAAGAAAAAGATTCCCGATAGTTTCCCATATTTTCTGGGCTTCTGTCTTCCCCCCCACTTCCCATCTCTTCCCATAGTTTCCAGGGGATCGAGGATGAATTATGTCTATGTGCTTTTTCCTCTCCTGATAGACCTACACGGTGCTTTCCGTTTTTGTTCTGCTCTCGGTTTCCCTCGTTCTGCCGTCCCTCCGCCGCTGCTGCAGAGCGACATCGACACGAAAGCGGCCCGCGAAGTCACCGAAACACCGCTCAGGCTTCGGGGGTCCCCCTGGAGCCCTCCTGGGCCGTCTCGACGGCCTCTTGGGCCGACTTGGGGGCCTCTTGGGCCGTGCTGGGGCCATCTTGATGCGTATTGGAGCCATCCTGTGCTATATCGAGGCCCTCCAGGGCCCGTGTGCCCATGTGCCCGGCCACCGCCGCCCCCCAAGATGCACGGAGGGGCGCACCCGGCGAGCTGCCTCTTGAAGACTCCCGGAGGCTCTCGGGAGAACTTCCCCGACGCGCCCAAAGCGCGCCTCTGGGGAGCACCCGGGCGCCCAGTGGCCCAAAAGCTCCTGGAGGCTCCCCGACAGGCCCCGCGTGAAGCCCGGGAGGCCGAGCGCGCGGGTGCGCAGAGCCGCGCAGAGCCACGCGGAGCGCGCGCTCCTGCTGCCCAGCGCACACGAACACGGGACGCACAGGGACGCACTAAGACTATATGCTATCCTTGGGGGCGCGCGTCCGACCCAAACATATAGCACACCCATCTTGTAGTATGTCGTTGCCCGAGCGGTGTGGCCAGAATGAGCCCGCCACGACGCACATACTGGAAGATTTCTGGGTGCGCGCGTCGCCCCTTGGGGGGCGACGCACATCTAGTACTCGCCGGCCCAACGGGCCAGGGCGTGCTAAGATCTCCGGTACCTGGTTAACAGTATTTCTAGTTCGCGCGCGCGGGGCGGCCCCTGGGGGTCCCCGGACGAAAAGTACCCCGGCAAGGTCCCGGCAAGTCCCCGGCAAGGTCGGGCCAGAGATGCCGGAGCCCTGTTACAGGGCCCCAGGACGGGCCAAGAGGTCCCCAAGAAGCCTCCAAGACGGTCCAAGAGGGCCCCGAGACGGCCAAAGATCGCCCGAAGACGCCCAACAGGGCCCCAAGACAGCCCAAGAGGCCTCCAAGACGCCCCAAGGGCCTTCCAAGAGGCCTCCGAAGAGGGCCCCAAGAGGCCAAAATCGTTGATTTTCATTGTTTTTTTCTATGTTTTTTGCGTTCTGGCTTTTTCGGCTTCCGGACGCTCCAAGACGGCCCAAGAGGCCCCCAAGACCGCTCCAAGACGGCCCACGAGGCTCCCAAGACGGCCCCGGAACGGCCCAGGAGGGCCCCCAAGACGGCCCAAGTGCCGCCCAAGACGGACCAAGAGGCCCCAAGACGGGCCCAAGAGGGGCTCAAGAGGGGAACCGAGAACTGAAAAATCGAGCCCTCCGCCCCAGAAGGCGCCCAGGAGGCCCCAAAAAGGCCCCAAGAGGCCCCCAAGAGGCCCCCAAGACGCCCCAAGAGGCGCCCAAGAGGCCCAAAAGAGGCCCCAAGAGGCCCCAAAACGGCCCCCAAGAGGCCCCAAAACTCGGCTAGCCCACAACGGTGCGACAATATGGGCCGGCGGAATGAGCGAAGCGATTAATAAGTACAGTCGGGGCGCTGACCTAAGGAACCTTAAATAAGGAACGAGGCCCCGTTTGCCGATAAATTAAACTTCGATTTCCCATCGAAAACCAAAGGAAAACCTGAGGCAAACTGTCAAACCATCAAGGAACGCCGAGCCCCTGCCCAACGAAAAGGGTTCCTCCTTCAACGCCCCGACTGTATGCTGGGACGCCGAGAACACTTCTCCTCCAGCGGCCGAGTGACGTCACCACAGCGGTCTGCCGCCGCCGATCCAGACACTCCGCGCGGACCTCCAAAAAACTCCGTGCCGATGCCCCCTTGTCGCTGATCAGAGGGGGGGGAAGCAGAGGGTCGCTGTGCCGTGGAGCTGGCGCCACGCGTGGGGAGGCCGCCCCGTCTTCTTAATCTTGCCCCCGCGCAGAGCAC